ACATGCATAATTACAAACAAGACAAACCAAGATAAATACAAACAAGACAAGTTGGTGATCTATCAATTATGAGAATCTACCCGTACAGTAAATGACGTTTTGAACTGCATCAAAAACATTACAGTTTTGTAGGTGTGAAAGTGATGTAGACCCTCGAAGTAGTAACAAACACAGAGAACTGTCATTGAAATGCTGTAACTCTACTATGTTAGAAAGAGATGATAACAGAGTACTTCTTTGACTGGAATATAAAGTTTACAATGTAGAAAGTAGTGCTCAGCTGTTTCACTGTGATAGCCACATCTACATGTAGGGTGGTCAATATAATAATGTTGAAATAGATGGTAGTTTAACTGGCTGAAATTAAGACGGGGCCTTGTGTGATGAACAGCGGAGTGTCTTTGGCCATGACAGAAATGGAAGTGTTTTGTCGGTCTGTTGAATAGTGAATCCAACTCATTTTTAAGATGTTGATTGTGAGAGAAGGCTTGGATATTGGGGGTAGATCATTCCACAAATAAATAGTTGAGGGTAGGAATGATTTTTTATACTTTTCAGTTTTACAGGCAATAGGGGAGAAATTCTGGTTGCGCGAAGGTTGAATGGGACAGAGTCACGAATACGTGATGGAATTAGATCTTGTAAATACTGTGGTGCAAGACCATTTAAAATTTTCCAAAAATTTGGATCAGTTTATGTTTTTGCCTTCTGTCAGGATATGTGTATATGTCCTTTCTGGCGACAGACATGTATGCGGGAGGCATCGCATATATGTCTGTCATGAAAACCATGATATATATTTGTCCTCACCTCACATACATGTGCGGTGGAAAACTGACACATGTATATGTCCTTTCCGGCGACAGACATGTATGCGGGAGTCATCGCACATATGTCTGTCATGAAAACTATGATATATATTGGTCTTTACCTCACACACATGTGTCGCGTAAAACTGACGCATGTATATGTACTTTCATGACAGACATGTATGCGGCAGTCATCGCATATATGTCTGTCATGAAAACTATGATATATATTGGTCTTTACCTCACACACATGTGTCGCGTAAAACTGACACATGTATAGGTCCTTTCATGACAGACATGTATGCGGGAGTCATCGCAAATATGTCTGTCATGAAAACTATGATATATATTGGTCTTCACCTGACACACATGTGCGGTGGAAAACTGACACATGTATATGTCCTTTCAGGACAGACATGTATGTGGGAGTCATCGCAAATATGTCTGTCATGAAAACCATGATATATATCGGTCTTCACCTGACACACATGTGTCGCGTAAAACTGACACATGTATATGTCCTTTCATGACAGACTTGTATGCGGGAGTCATCGCATATATGTCTGTCATGAAAACTATGATATATATTGGTCTTTACCTCACACACATGTGTCGTGTAAAACTGACACATGTACATGACACATATGTCTGTCGGGGAAAACCTTATATATATATGGGCTTCCCCTCACACATGTGTCCTGGAAAATTGACATATACATATGTTCTTTACATCATATATATGTCTGTCTTGAAAGCCAGATGAATACGGGCTTTACCTCACACATGTATATGTCGTGAAAATCGTTTGACCTATGTGAGCTGTAGATGCATAATTCGGACAACAAAGTGATAGATAGATATCTTGTATCCGATTCAGCAGTTGAAGTATATGACTGAATAATTATCCTATAAACACATCCAATGCGTGCAGTATTTTGTTGTAGTTGAAGGGAAGGGTTTCTTTTATTGTCATACTTACACTCTACACCGGCGGGGCCTACTCTGACGTTGGACTAACATAAAGCAAATATCTTATTATTTTATTTCAATTCTATTTATTAGTTTGGCTGTAAGAAGACCATTTGCACAGCCAAGGCAGCCCAACTAGCCAGACGGCTATTATTAAGGGCTTGTCCTGCTGACAAGACAAACATTTACACGTAAATTACAATAACACAATACATCAACGTGGAGAGGTCAGGGTCACACACCAAGAGAGTTCGATAGCTTCCTTTTGAAGGAGGCAATAGTAGTGGCAGTGCGAGCGTCAGTGAAAATATCTAGGGTAGCGAGCAACGTTTTTAGTGATTAGCGATGCATATATACAGATGAAAAGTTACCACGAAAAATTACAAATTATGTCAACCGTAACTAAGGCTATCAACACCGTGCTATCAACGTATACAAAAAGTCAGGACGATTCTTCAAACTACAATTCCCTTGAAACAAACAAAACAGGGGGCCCAAGCTGACACTTCCTCTTTACAAGTGCGATCCTAAGACTAGTAAGAGCTATGTATGTACTTTTAAAAATTATATCTTCGTCTGTGTTAAGCTGTTAAGAGTCTATCCAATGACATGAAAGCTCCTTGGTCTGTCCTAAAGCTGCAACATTCATGAGTGTGTTCTACCATCTATATATATGTGTATGTATAAGAGAGACATATATGAGTGTGTCCTAACACGATATGTGTATGTGTAAAGCGAAAGATATACATGAGTGTGTCCTATCCACTATGTGTGTGTGTGTGTAAAGTTGGACATACATGTGTTTGTGCGACCGTGTATACATGTGTGTGTCAAGCTGGATACATACGTGAGTGCAAAATCTATCCTTATATATGAGGAATTAGTAGTCTTTATATATATGTAATTTTGCGACACTTGGCCCTCCGTACCGTGACCCATTCATCCCATTCATCAGGCATAGAACTAGATATATCTGATTCTAGATATACCTTACCGTCAACTATAAAATGTGTTATAAAATGTGATATAAATCTGCAGCATTTACTACAATTGACTGTATGTGGACGCCCTCCTTTCACGCATTTTGTAATTATAACGGGTGCAGGTACTGGTAATACTGAGTACACTCTAATCAATAAATGCGCATATGATTATAATAGCAGACCATTCTCATTAACCAATGATGAAGAATGGCGGAAAAAACGTCCCAGAGGTTTGGGGATTTTATACGTTCTCTCAGTGTGAATGAGAATTTTAGATGCCCTCCAGCAATATCGTGTCCAATCCTCTGATGCATTCTATGACAAGGCAGTGGACACTGTTGTGGAAGCAATGGCTAGAAGATTGTATATATGTATATATGTATACATATTGTGTGTCTTGATTTATATATGTACATATTGATGTATTGTTACGTTTATGTGTATACTCTCTCCTGGAAGAATAGCTGTCACCCTCGATCGGGTGGGCAGCTAAAGGAGAGTTTTAACTCAATAAACTCAATTGCTAATACTAGAATGTTTTACGCAAATAAAAAATAAGTCAATGTATTCTAGCTCTGCACTCCTTTCTGGTGCAAATTTAATTCACGGTACGGTTGGTGTCAAATTGAATTGATTTTTTTTGTATTTTGGATACACTGAAGCTATTTGCGTTATAGCCAAAACACAAAATGATTCATGTAAATTTAAAGCTTTTTTTTGGTACACTCATTTTCGAGTCACTTCAATCGCATGATAATTCATTCCCTGAAGAACATGACGCATGTAGTGTTTTATCAGCTGTTTTTCAAAGAGTCAGTCCCAACTGAATTTACCAACACTAGTAAGAACGACCCAGTGGTTATGTGACTGTGTGTATCAATTATTAACCAGTATGTAGCAGCGTGTTGAGGTGATGCCCAGCGTTGCGGAAAATGCCTTCATTGTTGTGTTAATTATGTTTGACCCGGCCGATTATCCACGGCGCACCGCAATTATTTTTCAATGGGGTTGATACGGTATTTCCAGCTGTCAACCATCGATATCATGAATACCATTCAGAAGGGCATGGATCATTATTTACTACAAAGAGTTAGCCTCTACCAGGCTTCGGGAGGCGGCTGGAAAGATTACGTAGAGATTGGCCAAACAGAGAGAGATTTTAAAATTTTTTTTTTTAATGTAAAATTTAAAATTTATTTCTAATACAATGAATACATACACCACTTACAAAAGACACAAACAGAGAGAGATAACATACCGGGGGAGTTGGTCCGCTAGAAGAATACAATTTGCCGCACCCGGTGTTCGGTTTAGTAAAGAGGGCATATGTCATTTAATTGAATTGACGACGCGGCTTCACAAATAGTAAAATTCAGCCAAATAATTTAACGTCAACACTGGGTCAAAGGTATCTGGTAGACGATGTCGGCCCCCGTCGTGGTTAAGTGAAGTTCTACGACCCTATTCTAGCACGGACGAAGCGCTACTCCAAGAGCCCTTTGTCCTATGTAGTAAAACTCATGTCTTTTTAATTTATCATGTATACACACACTGTGTAATTATGTAGAGATCGCAATTCAATTTTAGGTATACATTCCTAGCTAGATGATATTTTAAAGTTGTTAAGGTGGACACTGATGTAATGAAACATGCAATTCAGCCTCCGGGCTGCAAAATACTTTAAATCAATAAACCAGTCTTAATAATTACCTCCGCGGAAGGGTTTTGTGAGAGATGTAGATTTTCATGTTCGCAGCTGTTTCTCGCGTTTGGGTGGACGGATTCTTTTGGGACTCGGTATATGTTTTGCTATTGGGCTGTAGATGATACACGTTCTTTTGTTTTTATTGTATATGTGTTTTCGGGCGTGAAAATGGTGCCTTTTGGTGGCCCCAAAACACCCCTTTGAGTGTGAAAGTGGTCGCGACCGTTGACCTTTGGAGTGTATAAGGTATTGTCGGTCTCGTCCACCAAGGTGACCCCTCGCACAGAGGGGTGTCCGGTCTCGATAAATTCTTTGTTTAAACCCCTAGTCCTGCGTCGCGCAACAATTGTTATTGTGCACATGCATCTTCTCTAACACATAAAATTCAACACCATCAAGGCATCAACTATACATAACAAATTAGATATAAAAATATACAATAAAAAGCCCGGAGGTTTAAAATCTCAGATTTTACTTGTTTCCTCTGCAGCTGGCCACAGACGGTTTGAAGACGTCTCACATACAGAAGTTCTACGACTTGGCCGGGTACGCTCCGGAGTCGAAGGATGGGAACGACATCGTGCGGACGGTGCAGGAAAGATTGGGCGATTACTTCAGCAAGAAGGAGGCGGCGACGAGGGTACGTTACTTTAATTTATTTTTTCAATTCAACATGGACAATACAAGATATGGTGGTGAGGTACTCTAGCTATAGCTAATTTTAACCTCACCACCAGACATGCAAGTATACAGTGACAAAATACATGACAAAAAGCAACAGATAACAGTAAATGGGTGGTAGAAATGGATCAATAAAATGGTAAGAAAGAACATGTTTTGTAGTCTATGTAGGAGTTAATCTAATACAAACCGTTTAGTATCAATAACGTAAGTTTGGGTGATTGTCAAAATGTTTGACTGTTTGTATCTGGGTGTAAATTGGGTGATCCTCTAAGTAAAATGTTACATAAGAGTTGTTCAGACATGTTGTGTACATCAAGTTCTGTAGATTGCTGATTAGGGTGACTTTTTGCTGATTATATCGATTATGTACGTCACTTACAGGACAGAAGTATTGTTTTGGGTGGTACTAATTTATGCTAGGTTTGTATGTTTGGGTTCAGAAGTGAGTGGGTGATAAGTTCAGCAAGAAGGAGGAGATTCTCAGTTCTCTGCCATTTAGGCTTCCACGTTTAGGAGGTTTAGCTAAACTAGAGAAGTTAGTGATATATGACCAGATCTGGACATGAACATGTCTCCTTGTTTAAAGTTAAAACTTTTGATCCAACACAAAAAATTCTCTCACCTAGAGCTTTCAACCAGAAACTCTCGTCACCCTCAGTAGACTGACCCAGTCTGGTCGAAAACTCTAGATGAGAGACTTTTTGTGTTGGACCAAAGTTTTAACTTTAAACATGTAACTACCAACAAAGATGAACTTTCATGATAATAAATATGTTTCCTTGTCTTCCATCCAGAGAATAGCAGAAGCAGTGGTCCATTTTCACGACGAGGCGTACTTGCGGGGACAGCAGGACCTGCCCATCCTGTCAGACCTGCCACTGGACATCTACCGGGACGCCGACATCCCGTCCAGGCTTCCCACACCCCTCACATTCAGCACGTAAGACGTTTCCTCTCTTCCTCTAGCCTCTACCAGGCTTTAGCACGTAAGATGTTTCTGTCTCTCATCTAGCACGATGTTATTATGTTTGAGACATCTGCCGGGACGCCGACATCCCGTCCAGACTGCCCACACCCCTCACATTCAGCACGTAAGATGTTTCTTTTTTCTCTGCTGGAATCAAGAACTCGTTTCCGGGCCGCAAAGGCCCTTCGCCCGCTGGTGTAAATTACCGCTACGGGGAGTCTAGCCCGGGGGGGGGGGGGTTGGCTGGCCCTACATCGAGTAAAGGGCCGGACAAACCCATCGGGCTCAACTCCTCCGTAGCGCTATATTTAGGCAGGCGGGCAAAGGGCTCGAAGGAAAACGGCTAACGGCCCGATACTAGTTTTGGCATCCAGGGTACTCGGGATAAAGCTTACACGATAAAGCTAACAGGATAAAGCTAGCGGGATGAAGCTAATGAGATGAAGCTAGCGGGATGAAGCTAGCGGACGATGTTGTTCTGTTTGAGACATCTACCGGGACGCTGACATCCCGTCCAGACTCCCCACACCTCTCACATTCAGCACGTAAGATGTTTCCTGTCTTCCTCTAGCTTCTACCAGGCTTTAGCATGTAAGATGTTTCCTCTCTTTCTCATCATACGAGTAAATAACCTGATACTAGGTACGGGAGTATTTTGTTTCCAATTTGGAACGATGTTATTATGTTTGAGACATCTACCGAGACGCCGTCATCCCGTCCAGGCTTCCCACACCTCTCACATTCAGCACGTAAGACCACTCTCTTTCTCTAGCCTCTACCAGGCTCCAGAAGCGGTTGGAAAGAGTACATGCCAGGGAAGTTGGTCCGCTAAAAATACAGTTGGAGGGGCAAACGGAAATCCTTAAGCAAACTGAACTCCCCTGGCATGATGTCTGTCTATTTGACCAACATCTACTCTTTCCATCCGCGCTTCTAAAACCTGGGAGAGACTAGTTCTTCTCATCATAAATAATCTGATACGCGGTTACAGGAGTACGATTTACGAATCCTTGCAATTCCTACTCTTTTTCCAGCAACCCATTAGAGCAGCACTTCAACAAGAGCTACAGCGTGGTGAAGATTTCTGACATGGTACCGCTGTCCCTGCTGTCCCTATGTGCAGCTACTTGAGATTTCTGACATGTGTGGTACCGCTGGTACAACGCATTACTTGAGATGTCTGACATGTATGGTACCGCTGTCCCTGCTCTATAGGTACTTCAAGCAGCACGTCAACAAGAGCTACAGCGTGGTGAAGATTTCTGACGAGGTACCCCGAGATGACAACGCTACAGTTAACACCGTGGTATACACCTCGGGGCTGGACGAAGTCTTTAAGAACAACTCTAAGGAGGACGAACTCCTCAGGTACGTGTAGAAAAGGTTCATTACTAAGCGATAGCGATAGCAATATATTAGGAAGTTTAAAGTTAAAACCTTTGGTGCAACACAAAAGGTTCTCACACCTAGAGCTTTCGACCAGCCACTCTGGTCTTCCTCAATAGACTGACCCAGTGAAGCTTGTCACGTGGCTTCTTTGAAGTTTGACGTCAACTCTTGGTCAAAGGTCTAGACGATATCGTCCCCCGTCGCGGTTAAGTGAAGGGTGGTGGGCCCTGATGTAAATAGCCGCTTCGCCCCTCTTAGGAAATAGTCTTGTTCACTGTCCAAAATCCTTACAGTTTTAACTTTAAACATGTAACTACCAACACAGATAAACGTTCATAATGATATACCAAGAAAATGTGCTTGAGCATGGTTCTGGATAAAGCACTGTTCTGGATCCAACCCTACAGTCCGGTCTCATATGCAGCATGCACGTACTGTACAAACCTGGAGTGTTAAGCCTAACGAAGGTTCACAAACAAGACCCACACGGTCCTTGTATGTTTTTTTATATGTAGATTCTTTTTTGACACAACAAAAAAAAAGTACAGTGACTTTTTCCAACATCTAGTCACAAGACGTGGTGACGGCACACTCAAGTTTTTTTTTCAACTTATATTAATGCCGCCACCAACGCAGGGGACAATACAAAACTCATTTTTACCTGAGCGAAGTGAGGAAAGTCGTGTAAAGTGCCTTTCCGAAGGGCACAAGATCGGTGACTGTCAGGAATCGAACTCAGGACCTCTTGATTCCGAGTCGAGCACTCTGTCACTACGCCACACGACCCCACAAATGTTGTATGTTTCCTCGCAGATGGCAGTACTTCGGGTCCAGTAACGGTCTGCTGAGGCTGTACCCGGGCCGGGAGTGGGACACCAACTTCGCCGGCTTCTACAACGACTACGACCCGCGGATCCGACCCTGGTACATCGCCGCCACCAGCGGGGCCAAGGACGTGGTGGTCGTCCTGGACTGCAGGTAATTAATAACGGTACCACTGCACGAAAAGTTGGATTTACCAACTCAAAACTCAAGATGTGTTAATTGCACATTTGCTGTGACCCTCCCGGTCACAGGATTGTAGAAAATTCACAATTCGTTTAAAACTTTAAAACACACGTTAAAATTTCACATTAAAAGATTACAAAACGATATCTCATTTCAAGATAGTACTAGAAATCCTTCAATTGTTAACATATGCCATATAGAATTATGTACGGTCAAAGAACGTAGTTCAGTCAGGGAGCTCGGGGAATAAGTCTTCATATTCACACAGCGTAGTTAAGACTAAGGAGAATTATTGTCCAAGTTCGTTGATCGGGTTGCACAGGTAGGGCATGGGAGAGTTCTTGCAACGCACGACAGTACGGGTTTACTGAATATGTTAAATGGAAGACCAGGTTTTAAGACCAGACTTTCTTCCCTCACCAGTTAATTTGATTTTGGTTGAGTGATTTACAAACATTATGATTTTCCTTACCAGTTAATATGATTTTGTTTGTTTTATGCTTGTGAGATAAGTTCCATTGATATGCAAATTCCTTTCGCTTTAACTTATTTATGTTTGGTTGGATTCTTTATGTTACCTTATGATTCATTGCACACTTGTATATAGTGATTATTTTCTTCTTATTTATTATTGTATTTTATCCTCAGTTACTTTGTTTGTATTTTACTATGTTGGGGTTTACCCCCCAGGTATCATTGAAAAACGCCGACAAGGCGATATGTATCACCTGGATAAATAAATAAATAAATGAAGATAAATCTGGTAATGGTTGCCTTTGGTAATGGATGACGCCAGACAACCATTATCTGACCTCTATAGTTATCGTTTAGCCAACATTTCCATATGTTTCTGTCATGCATGATCACGCAATAGCTAACATCAGGACTTAGGTATACAGGGCTCACTCCACACTCACTCCACAAAAAGTGAAATTCACCAATAACAGTTGATACACACAAAAATCTAAACGTTTTCTTTCCTTCTAAATGAAGAATCGTTGTAAAATATGCTTTTTGTTGCTATGATTGAAACATTCAACTTTTTATACAACCACGTGTTCATTATATTTTTTTTCACTCCAGTCACTCCATGATAGGAGAGAAGTTTGACATCGCCAAGGCGGTTGCCAAGACCATCCTGAACACCCTCACCAAGCAGGACTTCGTCAATGTCGTCTGCGCGCGAGCCAGCCACTGGGACGAGACCGGCAGGTACTTTAGCCTTGAGTATTGTCTTGTCCTGTATTCGTCCTCTGCGTTGGTGGCGGCATAAAATAATTTGAGTGTGCTGTCACCATGTCTATATAGTGATGAAATGTTGGAATATAAAAAGATAACCTATGTAACACCCGTGTTTACAGGTGGCACCAACACGACACGGAGGTTCTGAGTTGCCAGCAGAACCGGCTGGTTCCGGCCTCCACCGCGCACAGGAAGGACCTCATCCAGAAGATAGACGGGCTTCAGGCGGGAGGCACGAGTGAGATGAAGTAAGATCATGGTTTTTACATCACCCTTTTACATACATCAGGGGCTTGAGTATATTAAAAAATCCTAAATGCTGCACATTTCCCTCTCCTTGGTGCTGAAGTCTGTGTTGTGATGTGACGTGTGCCATCTAAAGTATATCAGGTCCTGGGACCACGTCAGTGCGCTTTCGCTTTGTGTTACCATGTTTACCTTCCAAGAAAAAAACGTTGGTCGTTGTTCTGTTTCTGGACCAGACGTCTGTCACCATGGTAACTGGTACTGAAGTAGACACCCTGTGGTGTTGGGATATAATTACTTTATGCAACAGGACAAAGCTTGAGGGGCTAGACACTATCTATATGAATTTCAGAGCCTTAGGGAGAAATTCTACCGACTACACAAGCACCGACTACATTTATCACGTTTTTTTACAGGAAGGGTTTTGAGATCGCGTTTGATCTTCTGTCAACGACGTCACGAACGACCTGTCAATCACTTATCGTCATGGTAACGGACGGGAAGGACATGGACGGCGGCAAGGTCAGGTGTGGTCCAGGTGAGGAAAATGTTAAGGCAAAATTCTGGATAGTCTACGTGTGTCCAGATGCAGAACCGTGCCTAATCCAATCCCAAGCTCAGGCGCGGTTAGTGGGTAGTCCACGAGTATCCATCTACTTTCTTGGATACTTGGAGACTATCTAGAACCGTGTCTGAACCTACATGTAGCCCTAACCCACTCAGGCATAGAACAAGATAGGCACGGTTCTGGATACGATAGTTTCATTTCTAACATTTGTAGAACTGATAAATGTAGTAAAATTAACGTTTCTGCGCCCAAAACGCCCTACACTGTTTTCTTTTAAAGCCAAAGTATGGAAATCCCTTGGGGATCCATATTCTGTTTAACACACTACATCTGTATCATAGCCCGATTAACATATTACCTCGGCAACTATGTATATACTAGGACTCTACTATTGTATTATTGTATTTTAAAGAAATGTATTTAAAAATATATATTATTGCACTATTGTATATAATTATTGTATATCTCACTAAGTATGTAATACATGTATGTATTCCCATGTATGTCTAACGATTTTCATCTTTTCCCCAGGGTGTTCCTTAGTAATAGTTGGGACACCCTGGCTTCCTTGTAAGCCGAAATAAATAAATAGAAATAAATTAATGAAAAACGTAAGTTTTGTGTGTGTGTTGACAGGGTACTACACCCGCAGTGGGTACGTCCCTGGGCCGAAATGCCGGTACGACTGGCGCATCGTGTGGGACCGGGTCGCGGAGCTGCAGGAGACGCTCAGGCCAAAGGTCAGGATGTACTTGTACTTTTTGTAACCTTCGTCATGCTAAGATAGCCACTTGGTATGAAATCTTTACTGGTCATTACTGGGTTAGGCTGCAGGGAGAAGGTTGAACATGTATCCATCAATGAATGACATCTTAGAGTCTCTTGTGTCTATATATTAGTCTATATATTAATCTCCAAGCAGATTCTGTGGAGTATTTGCCTCCTGTATAAATCTGCCCCCAGGCGGCCAATATAGGCTCCCTTGTCCCACAGAATGTGTTTGGAGATTACAGCATGTGATCACATATGGCTTTGGGTACTGATGACCATTTGCGACCATCTTCACGACTGTCTTCGCTCCAAGCGAGTATTTTTAGCTACACAACGGTTTATCTTATTTAAACGTCTAACTTCACGATTTTCTTTACACCAGGCGCGGATCTTCAGCTACCTGACGGTGGACGACGGAGAGGAGTTTCCGGGGAAGCTGGCCTGCGACAACCGAGGCTCCATGAAGAAGCTGTTCGACACCAACAACATCATTTCCCAGATGGACAACTACTTTGATTTCCTTTCCGCTAACGTTCAGACCGATCAGGGCCGCTGGACCGCCCCGTATCTAGACGCCTGGGGCCTCGGACTTATGGTGACATTCACTGTACCTGCCATCAGTAAAATAACTAATAAGTAAGTATAGGCTGTGTGCGTAGACATTCCACGTAGATAAACCACCACCCTTGTAAAATATATAACTGGTGTTTGTAGTTGTGTTGTACGTACGTGTGAATTTGATGAAGTCACAAGTAATGCCAGATATTTCAGTTAGCTCAGAAAAACACCACTGCATGTCTTTGCCATATACCGTTTCTTACTAACAAGATGCACTTGAGTTTCAATTTCTGTTATGAGTAACCTGCATGTGCATATGGTTCTTGTAACAGGTATCGTTTTCGTTTGATCCTTTTTTTTTGTACCTCCGAAAAGTTTAAACATTTTTTCTTTCTTCGCGAATCTGTGTAGCATGAGTTCTAGCATTAACTGTGACTTCACTAGTCCTGGCTGCCGGCTTTTAAAACTCCATGAACCTCTTAGCACAAATCACTGGGATCTATTCATTTTACAGACTTTGCTATGTGCTCATCTATTTTGAGGTGAGACTTTTGCCCAGACGTTTGTGCGCTTAAATAGCAAGCACAAATCGTTGGGAAATTATTCCTTTGAAACATACTTTGATGTGCGCTCATCTGCATTGTAGGTGAGACCTTTGTCTATGTCATTGTCCAGTTGAAATTCGGCTAAGTGTGGCTGAATGCCTTAAAGTTTCTTCTTCTTGTTCTTCTTCTTTGATAAGCTATCTGGCAGCCATGACCGAATTCCTGTCCGTGGTTTGTGGCGTGTTTAAGTGTTGTTATAAGTGCAGGGACAGTGAATGACTCCACAAGCCGGCTACCGTTTCTCCTTTTATGACACACTCACTCGTGTGTATTCTGTTGTTATTATTAATCACGGCATCATCTGGGCATCATAACTAATGGTTCACTTCAGCCACGCTTCTTCTATCAGAACAAACAAACAAACAAACAAACACGAACGCTTCCTGTGCACGACGTTTGGAATGATCCGCGGAAGCAAAAAGCATGTTCATCATCAGCCGCCATTTCTAATCGTCCATTTCTCATGTTTTCCATCGCCACCTTTTCGTACATATTGTATCGTTGCGGACACACAGCCATACTTTGCTTTCTGCTTTCCAGTAATACTCCTGGCTACGCTTTGTGTCAAGCATCCACACTATCAATATAACTCATTCTAATACGCAATGTAAAATTACAAAACTTAACAAAAATTTAAAAAATCACCAGGGTGGTGAATGTTGAGTAGTACACCTTTTTATTCACAGCCACTTGTTCAACAAGAGTTGACGTTTCGATGACACCTGCCATCTTCAGCAGGGCAAGTATGACTGGTTCACTGTGTACTGAACCAGTAACACCTAGCTTCAGTTAACCAATAACACCTAGCTTCAGTGAACTAGTAACACCTAGCTTCAGTGCACAGTGAACCTGTCATACTTTCCCTGATGAAGATGACAGACGGCCATCCAAAAGTCGGCTCTTGTAAACAATGGCTGTGAATAAATACCTTTGCTATTCAAAACTCCTACGAATATATCGTAAAACATTGCATACGACGTCCATACTGACATTGCTCCAGACTTGTAGCACTATGTGCAAAGCATGACCGAAAAAAAGGGTGATCTTGCCATCAGAAATGTCTGATTCGAAGCTCCAAATTTTTGACGAGTGAAAACACAACACCTCTTCTGGATGGCACGAAGTCAACCGAGGCCCACTTCGCACCACTGGAAGAGGTCTATAGATCTAGCACTGCGATGCCGCAAGATTTTTTTACAATCATAAGTAATAATAACACGTTCTTAGTAAAACATTGAACTTTATTCCAACACAAGGGTTACAGAGCGATCAAATTTTCGACGACCACTGTCGCCTTCATCAGGATAATTAATGATCAATCACTTATCAATCACAATCATTCATTATCCTGATGAAGGCGACAGTGGTCGTTGAAAATTTGATCGCTCTGTAGCCCTTGTGTTGAAATGAAGTTCAATGATTTACTATGATTACTACCAACACAGATGAACTTTCATGATAAAAACACGTTCGTATGAAATAACCTTAGTGAGCAGAACGCTCTAGCTAGCCATTTTCCTGTTTGTAACGTGACCATTTATGATGTGTACCTGGCATTTCAACTGACTTTTGTGACCTGTTTTCCGTGTAACTTCCCATTTTCCGTACTGCCGCTTATGTGTAATTCCTCTTATGTTGTTGCCTAACCATCATGTGCACCATAGTTTTCCCTTGACCAACTGACCAGCTTCCCACTCTAACCATGTACTTCTATAGATTGGGTGGTTTTATTTCTTGGTCAACCAACATATTCCTCACCACAATCAGCCCCCAGTAAGACATCTGGAGCCGCATAGTTCCTGTTTAGAACTTTTATTCAGCCTGTTAGGACAATACAATATATGGGATGCCAGATTACAAGAGGATCTGTAGATGTGTCATTATGCCTTTATTAGCCACTAGGGAAACATGCACAGGCGAAACCGGTCTGAACGACAGTTTGAATAACTAAGTTCTATATGGGAACTATGAAGCTCCAGATGTCTTGTTGAGGCATGACTGCAGTGCGAAAGCTGTCGGTTGGCTGAGGAATGATTCCACTCTCTATATACCCAAAACGTACTTAGAAGTCAAACCTCTTTAGTGAACCATTAGGTGTGTTGCACTCCTAGCATGCTTTCCCTCCTGGAATGGTGAAATTGTGTCATGTTCTAAACCAGGTTGATTCTGGTGCAGTCTATCCTTTAGGGTACATGGACGTAGAGCTAATATTTTGTAGATGTCTTCCCCGTACCCGTCAGTACGTCCCATGCATGTCCTTGTCTACTGTACAGTTACGATGTTCTCTAACTTCCGTTCGATCGCATGTCGAAGGTGAGTTGTTTTTTGCTTGTTTCCCGCGTACTGAACAAGCGGTTGGTTAACCATGGACAATCCCACATTGAGTGATGGCTTGCACATCATGCTTCTATCTGTAAAAATCCTGAACGCACTAACATCATCTCAGAACCACGATAACCCCAACCTTACCACAACCATTGATCAGCGACTATCCCTTCTTAGTTGACTCGATGACACAGTAATCTATACTTTGAATACCATTACTTATCTGAAAGCTCTACACGTCGCAAGAAAAATTTACACGCAACGACATTAAGATTGGATGGTAAATCTAAGAGAAACTGACTAAGCATATGAATAATTGGAAACTCGAAATTAAAAGTCGACGACTATGATATTCAGAACGCTTTGATCCCGTAAGTGATGGTATACGATACTAAAATCATGTTTCTGTACGAAGATGAGAATCTGCCTGTACGTTCTGCATGACCATGATGTTGTGGTGTCCAGGGCTATAGGTGTAGCGGGCGTGGACGCCACTCTGGAGGAGATAGAGAACATCTTGGTGAACGACCAGTGGGGATCCGTCTACACCTTCCTCATCAACAACGAAGGAGAGACCATCTTCCACCCGCTGCTCAGGCCCAGCACACAGGTCAGGAACTAGAGTCATAAAAGACATGATAAAAGCTGACATGGCCTTCCCAATCACTTCATACCTGTCTCTTTTAATATAATCTCCAAGCAGATCTTTTGGTGGGGGTAAGACAGTATCAAATTGGCAAGTATGTAACCCTTGGGTGGGGAATGGTTACAGACTGGCCAATTTGATACTGTCTTACCCCCACCAAAAAAAACTGCTTGGAGATTATTTTAATATGCAGTTTAAAAGGACGGGAAAGAAAACAGTTTTGAAGCCTCGTTGGAGGGAGGGATGGATATGTTGTGTTTTAGTAGCCATGTTACGGTAGTTGCAGATCTGGAAAGGGAACAAGATTGTTAACTTAAAGACAATAGACTCCAAACTTCCAAACTTAAAGACACTAGACTCTGAACTGACCATATGTAACCGGTTGCCCTCCACCCCAAGCAGACCATCATGTAACCTGTTTCATTATTCCCGTCTCTATATGTATTCTAGTTAGTAGACGACATCATCTGGCAGCTTAGTGGGCGGTACTATCTGGCACAAAAGGTTGACATGTAAACTGTTTCTCCCCCGCGCTCTAGTTAGTGGACGACCCCATCTTCATCCCGATCCGGCAGCTGGAGATGCCGAACGGGAAACCGGAGAAGTTCCTGGAAGTGGAGGAGGCCATGAAGAGGGGGAAGAGGGGGTCTCTGTACATCAAGGACGCCATTAGGGGCATACCCAAGGTACCATCAAATTTTTCTTTTATTATTCTGACATGTAATCACCAGACGTGGTGACGACACACTCAAGTTTTTTCAACTTATATCAATGCCGCCACCAACACAGGGGACAAATACATGCCAGGACAATACTCATTTTCACCTGAGCGAAGTGAGGAAAGTCGTGTAAAGTGCCTTTCCCAAGATCGGTGGCATGTCAGGACTCGAACCCGGGACTCTCAGTTCCGAGTCGCGCACTCTGCCACTACGCCACACGACCCCACACAACTTTTCAGTTTATATCATTTTATCTTTTACCTTTGACATGTCCCACTCTAATTTTAAGTCCAATTCAAATAATTTCTGTTAAACGATGTATATATATATATAGTTATATTTTGTATTATTCTAGACTGGACAACAGAAATGATAGTGATGTATCACAAATGAAGAGATCGTTATGAATCAAATCAAACCATGTAGGATTTTAACAAGTACATACGATTCGCACTGGAATTGGTTTAGCAACCCTTAAAACCTACATGTAGCTTCATGCAAAAAAGTACCTTTTCACGTCAAAAGAGCATTTTTCAAATTCAGCAGCGCTAAAAAGAAACGTTTTTATGCTACTACAGTCAAAACGGGCCAGGAAGACCACTCAGGGGACCGATAAGAGACCTCCAACATGTGGTCACAATAGCATGTAGAGATGGTCACTAGTACAGGTTTGACTGTATTGCTTTGTGGGGCGCAACACGAATTAAAACGCTGCCATTTGTATTAAGATGCGACGTGGGCAATGAAGGATTTCAACCAATATTTTATTTTATTTTATTTATTTAAATTGCAAACAATACAGTGCAATACAGTGGAAGCCCTGGCAGCTGAGCTGATGTCGGGCCCCACGTTGTGGAATACATACATACATAACACAATAAAGTAACGAATCACATACCCTACAATCCATAACCTAGGCTAATGCATTGTATACAAAAAAGTAATAATAAATAAGTATGGTAGGAGGCCAGAGGTCATTCAAAATATATAATATTTACAAACATATATTATTTTCAATATTTACAATGTTGTAGGAATAGATGGAAGGACTAAGAGTTATGTAATCACGCCAACCAATATGTTCATGTATGGCGTGAACTAGAGTCAGTTTAGCCTAACCTAATCGCTTTCTGTCATCCCAAGGGAGATTTCCAGGACGGAGTGAAGGTGATCGTCGGTCCTGCCACCTACTACTACACCGCACTCAACGACTCTGTCTACGCGTTCGCTTTCAACTTGGCAGACACGGACAAGGTATGCATTAGGAGTAAAAGGCTGTAGCATGCATTTCGTCTTTAGATGTATTCAATTTGGTGTCAAACAACGCACGTTGACTAGAAAGCTGGAGATCGACTACTGCCGTGTCTTTACTGCTTTTGGTTTTCTTGTAGCCTGGTATCCTGTCTTACGTGATTGGGGCATAGTAGTTGGAGTGTTCAGGCAGGCTCTAATAGCTTCCCCCGCCTAGTGCAACAGCCTCTCCGGCAAGACAAGAGTGTTACGCTAATAGAGATGACATGCTTGAGGATTTGATTTGTCCCATCACGTTCGTGGTAGGGCTAATCAATCTCCCATCATGAAATACACACCGGGAAACCTAGCTGAGGCGGGCGGGGAAGAGCTCATGCGGCCCCGAGAAAATCCCGCCCCTACCACGATACCAGACTGGATACCAGGCTAGTTACCTCCATGAAAAATGGAGGTATTGTTTTTGGCGTGTCTGTCTGTGTGTCTGTGTGTGTGTTTCCGCAAATTTGTAATCAGCATAACTTCATAACGCCTTTATGGATTGTGATGATATTTGGTATGCTGATAAGTCTTAGGAAGACAAAAGTCAAGGTCAAATATTTGCCTCCTGGTGGATGACCTTGGTACTGCAGCAGAACTTCCGGTTTTTGTATCTTTGGTCCTGAACATGATATGGTCTTGACTTTCTGTTGACAGATAGCTTTTTCTGTCAGGAATAAGTGGTGTGGGTTTGGTCCCCCTAGCAGCTTGTTTCCTTGATGTTTTTCAGAACTTCCGTCATCCGAAGGAACCGAAGAAGACGCCCAAGATCCCCACCAGCTACTACAACCTCCTGACTGCTTACAATGTGACAAGGGGGCATTTCAATACAAGTGTCAGGGAGCAGTTGGGAAGCAGCTGGGGAGCTGTCAGGGAGCAGTTCCAAGGTGTCCTTTTCTCTCATTAATAGCTTAAAGATTGACATTCAATTCGAGAAAACTCAACATATTTTATTCAAAGAATAGAATAGAAATTTAGATTATAATAACACTGCTTATTTGGCGATGGGTCGATCACACATCTTGCAATAATTGGCAGTACTTCGTACTTACTTTACTCGTATGTCCCTCGAGGCACTGTGGTAGCCCAGAGGTATCCGTTTTGCATGGCCTTCCTCGTGCAATCCACAGGTATACCGGTATCTCTAACGAAAACGGTATAAACGGTCGTGGCTGTATAAAACATTCATGTTAGCACCGTAAATAATTTCATCAGGTTGGAAGATACTTAGGGTATAGAATTTTCTTCTTACACGACCAGTAAAGTTGTTGCAGAACTCTAGTCAGAAGCTCTGAGGAAGGTGACTGATAGACATCAAAACGTAAGCAGGTGAGAACCTTTACTGGTTGTGTAAGAAGAAAATTATATACCCTATTCATGTTAGCAGTCATAACATTACACCAATGATAATGTTATACCCAGAACCGTGATTTGGCAAGAGCCATGAACGGCTTTGGGTAATCGACGGTTCTGTATATTCCACGCGTGTCCAGAACCGTGCCTGACGCCAATTAATTGGATACGGAGAGACTAAGCTAGCCTTGGTGCCATCCCCAGTAGTATTCGCCAACTCTATAACCAGTTGTAAGCTGGCGGTGAATTCTACTGGGGATGGCACCCAGGCTAAGACTAAGCTGGTGTGTTACACAGATACAGATCAAAGACACTCACACACTAACACATTGCTGTATCCTTCAGAGGCCTGGGAGAGTCTTGACGTCAAGTTTAACGAGAGGCGGTACCCCAAACTGTTCGTGTCCTACGAGCACTCCACGTTCCGCCTGGCCCCGAAGTGCTACTGCAACCCGAACAAGTTCCTGTTCGACGTGGACATGGCCAAGGAGACCATCGACGCGCACACGTTCATGAACTCTGACACGACAGACGAGGGGTGCTCCACGTCTCACGACCACAATGAAAATGCGAAGAACATTACATATGAGAAGAACATAAGGTAATGCCAACGTGATACCAAAATGCGCCAAAAAGCAGTTACTCAAGCAACTGGATATGCTTTTGGAAACGGTCAGACGTTTCAGCTGGTATCCACTAGCTTTCGTCAGTGACTAAGACTTTTGAGTAAGATTGTGTTGTACTGAATCAGCCTTCGGGCTGCGAGTGATTTATATATAATTTGATAAACATTCATTTATCATCATCATTTTTTTGTTTTGTTTTGTTTTCTTTTCTTTTAGAGCGGACGTACTGATCACGTCCCAGATAGAGGAGATCTGGAAGAACAGAGACTTTGAGGGTCTGGTGGACGTGAAGTGGACGTACATCGGGTGCCGCAGCGGCGTGTTCCGGACTTACCCCGGGCACAGGTCCAGGAGAACGTACGATCCTACAGGGTAAGCTCCGGGAGACTTACTCACAAGTTACGCCTACTTGTTTAATGTAGTTTGCACCAGACTAACTACGCTGGCCGGCTGGCCATACATAGGGATAATATTTGCCTCGGGAGTCTGGCCGCCTTGTGGTTTGGCTGGCCTTCAGAATATATATACAGGGTCGTTTTACCAAATTGAATTTTTCCTAGCTCTTTTCGGCAATGAACAGTGGACCATGGCTAAACGTATCGTCCTATGAGGACTGCGACCCTTTCCAGTAGGGTGCATGTTAGGTGACTGACACAGCCTCTTGACGGCAGGACTATGCACACTACCAACGATACCACTTTCATTATAAAGATTCCTGAGGCAGATGAACTCTTACGTGAGCTACTCTGGTTCAATATTCTTCCTTTTGTATCGTTTTTGTTTCCCGGTGCAGACGCCCCTGGTACCACCGCGCCATCACGAACCCCCACAAAATCACCATCTCCAACGCCTACCTGGATGCTGCCGGGGTTGGTAAGGTCGTGACCCTGTCCAGGGCCATCTTCGAGGGGATGCCGATCCCGGACCAGGACGAGTGCGAAAACGCCACGGCGATGGGGAAAGGGCTGCCGGGAGGCTGTCACTGCGAGAGGGATAGCGAATGTCTATCAGGTATGTAGTAGTAGTAGTAGTAGTAGTAGTAGTAGTAGTAGTAGTAGTATTTGTAGTAGTACTTGCAGTAGTAATTGTAGTAGCAGTGGTAGTAGTTGTAGTAGTTGAAGTAGTAGTTGTAGTAGTAGTAGTGGGGTTAGAAGTTGTAGTAGTAGCAGTAGTGACAGTAGTAGTAGTGGTAGTAGTTGTAGTAGTAGTAGTAGTGACAGTAGTAGTAGTGGTAATGTTGACTCAAGGAACTAAATAGATTTCGAAAAAGGGCCAGACGTTTAGGTAACATCCACATCCATGACCAGTTGACAAGGCTATGTTTCTTATTGTAACATCAGTTTGATGTTGTTTTCAAATGTCAATGACCACGCTTTCACGCCAGACTACTGCTACATCAGTGAGGCGCCAGGAAGCAACCAGCATCTGCCCAGGTGCGCATCTGACAAGGTCCAGGCGGTGGGGGGTCTGGACATCCTGTACAACGACTTCCACGATCACATCTACAACATGATGCAGTCCAGCGACTTCAAGAAGTCCTGCGGACAGAACTACACCTGCCCAAACGGGGAGCCAGGCTGCCAGACTAGGTAACTGCTAGATGTTGTGCTATTTACCAGCTTGTGTAATTTGTTTCCGTCACCGAGGATTTCTTTCGCTTAATGCCACCCCAACAGTTATAACAAACACATCAACATACCAGTCAATAGTAAACAACTGTCACCATAGAAATGCTTTTTATTGCCTTTCATGTTGCCATAACATCTCATTAGTTTGTCTCCATGAATTTCTTTCAGATATCCAATAGTATCAGATCAGACTGCGTATACTAATATCATATTAAAGATGGACCTATCTGTTCCAGGTGCTATCTGTTCGACAACTTCGCCAACTTGGTGACGGACCAGGACTTCCTGTCGCTTAGCAACCTGGATGAGAGAGAGTACCACCGGGTGTCGCTGGGCAGGAAGGAGGGGGAGGTGATGATGGAGCTCATCTACAAACACAAGTTCTTCGAGAGGAAAGAGCAGATCGACTTCCAGGGAGCGTGCAGCGTCTCGCCGTACTCACCCAAGGTGAGTACTGTTATTAGCGGTGAACAGTACTCACCTTTTTTCTAGAAATGGACGTGGTCCATAGATACCAATTACGTCATCATGACGACATGCTATTTTGCATGCATTATCGTTTTGCAACTACGTACGTGTACTTTTAGAAGAGAAATCAAGATCTACATGACTGTACACTAATAGCCCTAAGTAGTATTTTTGATACCATCCAAAATTATGAAACTCTCCCCGTTACTGCTTTTACGTAGGCAGCTGAGCTGATACATAATGTTAATGCGTGTTGATTATATTTTCGTTTAGTAATCCCAAACTATAAAACGCATTTTCCCACAGGTGACATTGGAAGGCATCCCCACCACGCCGCGGAGCCAAGACGACTACTTCAGAAACAAGGGTCCCATACCGAAGTTCTCCAACGAGTTCGGCTGCATACAGGACGTGGTGGGGTTCCTGGCGAACGTGTCTGCGCTAGGTGAGGGAGGGTGAAGGGCTTTGTGTGTGTGTGTGTGTGTGTGTGTGTGTTTGTGTGTGTGTGTGTGTGTTTGTGTGTGTTTGTGTGTGTGCGTGTGTATATGTTGTGTTTGTGTGTGTGTGTGCGTGCGTGCGTGCGTGTGTGTGTGTGTGTGTTTGTGTGTGTGTGTGTATGTGTGTGTTTGTGCGTGACTTTCCTCACTTCACCCAGGTGTAAAATGGGTACCCGACTTTGATTGTGGAGGTAAAATGCAGCAGAGGGAGAGGGATGGGCTCCGCCTTCCAATATTTTGCATTAGACACAGTGGATCAAAAACCCACTGCCCCTAGGGGCTCACAAAAGGCTAAGGAAGCACCTTTACCTTTGTAATGAAGGCATTATAATGGCCATTTGTATGTTAGAAACATTAAATAGGTACTTTTTCTTTATTCAGATGTTTTATTCACAAGACAACTCAAGTTGAGCAACTTATTTTGCCAGCGACGTCCCCAATCCCACCTATGGGATTATCATTTTAATCAGAAAAGGATAAGTGCCTTCCATATCCTTTCCAAGGAGAGATTCTCAGTCGAAAAGAGCATTTAAAAACCGTTGGGCTTGCTGGGTAAAAGTTTGTGTAAGTAACATTTAGAATTTTAGTCAGCAATGGTTGAGGACGAGCCTTTCAGTACTTAACTGTTATAATGATTTAACACCATCTAAATCAACAATCTCAGGTCCAACGAAGATGATCATGGGGAACATCTCCGGCCCGTGTACGTCCGGGTTCTACTACGTCATCGCCCTGCCCAGAACCAACCTGTTTCTGCTCGTCATCGAGAACTGGACCAACCACAAGGAGAGCCTCTTCTACAACTTCAACTGCCGCATTCAGAACAGGTTTGTTTATTTATTGTTTGTTTTTTAGGATATCTATTAGTGTGAATTTCACTCTATTCTTCTTGGAGTCTGTAGTGATTTTTTTTTATTTACTTCATAGTTCACTCAAATGTTTTGGGTTACAGTACGACCAGTAAGGACAGAGTTTTTTTTTGTTTGTTCGTTTATTTGTTTGAATTTACTGCGAGTGTGGAAGGAGGACAAAACAGGTGCATTGGCACCTTTACAAGTTGCCCTACCAAACGCTACAATATAAAATACAGATTTTTATATTAAAGACAAAATAGATTACAATATTGAACAATATTAACATGAAACAGAAATACCTACAATATGATACATTAAACATGAAATACTGTACAATGTCATGAAACATCATACATTACATACAAAAAAATGGCAATGATTAAAAACCAGTAATAATACTAATGAGGTCGTAAAGCCGTACAGGAGTC